CTCACCATATCTAAAAAATGGCTTTGATCTCACTACGTTGAAAAGAAATGTCTAATGAAAATTAGCTTGTTGAAACCTCCATTTTACCCTTTCTGTTTCGTACCTGAATGCGCTTTAATACACTTGGATTTAAGATGTACATGCCAGCATTGATTTTATTGGAAACAAAAACCTGAGGTTTCTCCACAAAGCGATGTATGAGTCCAGTATCTGCCTCACATATTACTACACCGTATTTGGAAGGTTCTTCCACTTTTGTCACCTGCAAGGCAAAGTCAACGTTAGATACAGGGAAGCAACCATGGTAGTGAATAAGAAATCAGAAAAAAATACATCTATCATATCTTAATATAAAATGCTATGCCTATGTTACTATTTTTATTCTTATCCCATTTCAAAGTCTTAAAAAAGGACACTTAATTGCTTGTTGTCCCCAAACTGTCTAAGACATGGCTTGCTTAACTAAGATTTACTGAATAAACAATGAGTTCACAATGACCAGCCAATCCATAAACCATGTATTGCTAACCAGAATGGCTGGATTCATGTAATAGCCTAAAAACATAAGTATTTTCAGTTTTATAGTCCATCTAAGATTTGGTTTATATTGTATCATGTTACTTGTTTTCTTAAACTAAATATCCTACAAGATATGTTAACAGAGGACTGTATAGCATTAGGTCTTTATTTCTAATTTATTTCCTTTAATTCCTTTTGGTTTTGAAAATAATGAAAGTTACTGTATACGGTCACCACAAGGTGTTTGATTTATATGTTCCCAGCTAACCACCTCCTCTTCTGGGATCTTTGAATGCAGTAGGGCAGGCTATCAAACTCATCATGGCATCGTCATGTGATGTATTGGGACTTTTCCCCCTTTGCTAAACTGGGCGGGGGCAGGGCCAGCATGTGGGGCATCTGGCTTGTGGGCCATGAGTTTGACACCCCTGCAGTAGGGATTTAAAAATGCCCTCAGAATACAAAAAACAATGAATCGCAATCCCCAGGTACTTACCACAATGGTGCCTTCTTTTCCATGATGCCTGTGAAAGTGTACCATGTCTGTGAAGGGAAAATCACAGATCACATCGCTATTGAGTACAAAAAAAGGTTCTGAATTTTCAGCCAAAAGCTCCTGTGCTAGTGCCAGTGGGCCAGCTGTGGAGGAAACAGGAGTTATCAGTGTCCATCTGATCATAAGCCCTTTAGCAGCCATAACCAACAAACACTGCTAAGCTCACAGTTACCTGTGCCCAGTGGTTCCTTCTCATGGGACAGAGAAATCTGAATGCCCAACTGAGAACAAAGAAGAATTTGGAAATGCAGTTAGAAGAAAAGTAAAAGCAAGCATCTGTGAGTGCATGGCCGTGACTCTATCCATAACTGCCTTTAGAAAATATCTCAAATAGGACAAGTTAATTATATTGCCAGCTGGTTTATGGCAACCTGCAGATTGTTGACTCATTGCTCATCGTTTAAATGTGTAAACACACCAAATAAAGCTGTGAATAAGGTGATTTAGACCTTGGAATGTTTTTAGGTTATCCATTTCTTAAACCATATTCAAACACTCTAATGCTAAATGCTCATACTTAGAAACAAGTCTGTTGAAAGTAATGGAATCTATTTAAAATTAGGTACATAATAGCACTTCTGCAGGCATGGCATTCCATAATCATCAAGAAGTTGTAGTAAGGGATTCAGGGCACTCCTTGGAGAAAAGGAAACTTTTCTTTCAAGAACTTTTGTAAGTTAATTTATCTTGGGCTCCAAGCCAAAAGGTGCAAGGCAAACTAGGGAGCCAAAGGGGGAAAAAATGTCCAATCGGTACAGTGGGGAAAGTACTTCTATTATAACATTTTATGTGTGATTTTGTGAAATGCCAAAGATACACACAGCTACTACTTCAAAAACAAACCACAAGTATTGCAAAAAAAACAATGGCCAAATTCGTGCTCAAAGTAATTTGCTCAAAACATTGTACAACGAAGGAATGAGATAAAAGAACTTACTAAGATCTAATTGTTTACTGCAGAGATAGTGGTAATTCTGATATTTTTTAGATGTTAAATCCATCAACGTAAGTGAACATAGCCAATAATAAGCAATCAAGGGAGCAGTGCAGCATCTTCAAGAGTCACTGCTTTTACATTATCTGAGACAATAATCCTACATTTTATTAACACTTTAGAAGATATATTAAGTAATGAAGTTGAATGTACAAAACTATTATGGAAAGTTACAGAAAAGCAGTATCACGACACCCAGAGATGCATATCTTATTTTAACACTGTACAGCAGGGATCTTATATAAGGAATTGTGAAAAGAATTGTGCTTATTTCACTTTTCTTCAACATGTTGTTCTATATGTTAGTTAACTCTCATATATCACATTCTTCTTATTTTAAGAAGATTCTAGCATAGAGAAATAATTTAGCTAAGCTCAATACCAGCCATTTTCCTTGCACAAGCCAAGGCACAATATCAAACTGTAGAATCCTTAGTTCATTTTTATTGAAACGAAATATTAAAGCTGAAACACCACATCCCTTAATTCAGGAACATTAAAATTACTACCGGTAACTACCCAACAGTATGCACATGCATATCTGTTAACTGCCCTGTGGAAACTGCTATTGAGTTGAGCGTAGAATAACCGGAAATGATACACCACTGCACTGCAAAATAATAATACCCAGCAAATGCAAATAAGAGCTGATTTACTCTATCCAATTAGTCCATGTAAACAAAAACAAAAAAGCTCACCTCAAGGCACTTACCCTTTGCTCTTGTTCTTTCATCTCCTTTTCCAGTAGTTCTGACATATAGCTCACAGCAAGGATCACATGATTAACACCCGCCTGCCAGGAAAAAATGAGAATTCAACATAATGAAGGCCTGGGGTTGATTCAAGGGATTGTTTAAGATGATTGACAGAATTATAATATCTCCAAATAATTATTCCTTATTATTAGAAATGCCAAATCTTGGCTCATGATACAGAAATCCAAAAGTGTTGAATCCTCATTGGAGAGTTATTCTAAAATCCTGGAAGTAATTTTGAACAGAATCAGATTTTCCTGTCCTAAGAAAACTGATGACTAAAATACCACATGTTGAGACAATGCCTAACATTAAATTATTGCCCAATGCCATGTTATGTGTGCAGATGCCCTTGATTTCAAGAGTTATTGGTGCAGAAAGCCAGAACTAAAACTCTTGTGGATGCTAGATGGTTCCAATACAGATTTCTTTTGCATCAGTTACATTAGCCATGTGTAATTGGGCCCAATATAACAGTATTTTAGCAATCAAATCAAAGTGCTGTTTAGCTTCTAAAAACATACATTATTTAGGACCATACGATCTACCTATATCCATATGATTTTACTTCATCATTACAATCAATATTGGGTTTTACTGTCTGGCCTTAAAATAATGATTAGATTGATGTGAATTAAGACACCGTGTTTTATATACTGGCACTACATTTCAAGAATATATTTGCCAGGAAGTATAATTTGGCCATATTAGTGCATCAGGAAAAAATAAATAAATAATTCTAAAAGCACACTTATTCCAATCAGCATTAAATAAATAAACTGCAAGAAGTGAGATAAATTCAAAAGTACTGTATAAAAAAATGTTATCTGTCATCTAAGAAGAAAGCCAGTTTTGTGTAGTGGATCAGGCTAGAAACCAGGGGACTGTGAGTTCTTGGATTAGGTGATCTTGGGCCAGTTACTTTCTCTCAGCCTTGGGAAGGAAGCAATGCACAGAGCTTCTGAAAAACTTTGCCAATAAAACTGTAGGGGCTTTTCCAGGCAAATGAACGTGGTTGAACAGGAGGAAAATAAAATATCAAGTTGGGTCATAAAAGGCCTGAAGCAGGCAAAATACTATTATTTCAATTCCAGATTTAGTCCGATTCACACATTTCCCCTTTCTCTAGTAGAGTACAAAATATTAGACATCTTGATTTCTCACTATGGCAAGACAGGTCAATTTAAGTCCAATGAAATTTCAGTTTTAGTATTGTACATCCATCCAGAGTAGCCCCATGGGCATCAAATAAATCTAACAAATAAATAAATGCCCCCACAAAAAAAGGAGAGTCCCAAAGAAAGCTCTGAGCTGTATCCCCTCAAATACAAGCAGAAAACTCCCACATTTCTCTTTTTTAAAAAAAAAAATTGTTTCATTAAAGGCTCTGTGTGCCAGGCAGCAATACAACAGGTAGAAGTTGTACACAAATGCAACAAGGAAAAGCTTTGGTTTTTTTAGCTGGCCGGGCAGCTTTTAAACATGCATCTTTCCCAGGAAGAAGCTGGAAGGCATCACTCGTCCCACACAGAGGCCATTGCAATTTGGCAGATCGAATCCCACCAGGCTCAAGGTTGAGCAGCCTTCCAGGGTGGGCTCTAATCCCCCCCCCACCCTTACCTTTACTAAGGCCTCCACCTGATGCAACAGGATGGGCTTGTTACAGAATTCGACCAGCGGCTTCGGGATGCTGAGGGTCAGGGGTCGCAGCCGGGTGCCGTAGCCCCCCACCAGGATCAGCGCCTTCATCTTGGCCTGGAAGGAAAGAAGGGATATTTAGCTTTGCGGAGCCCAGTCTTCCCCCAACCGCTCTCGGCTACGCTACACCTGCCTGCGCGCCTCTTTCTCTCCAGCTCGAGCTCCTTCCCTCTCTCGTCTCTTCCCGCAAAGCTTGCCAGCAGGCTTCCAGCGGCCGGATCCCAGCCGTCCGAAAGATCAAGCGGCCTCCAGTCGCCTCCCCGGATCCCACCTCGCGCCCTCACCCGCCGCTCCCGGTTCAGGCCAACTCAGAGACTCCTCCCCGGTCGCGGGAGCCAAAACCGACGTCCACGGCATCCCCCCCTCCCCTCCCCCCCCCCCCCCCCCCCGCCCCACTCCGTTTGCCTTTCGAACCCATTGACCAATCAATGCGTCTGACGTGGCCGACTATTCCTACCTTCCAATAGCGGGCCAGGAGAATCGCACGTCTCGGCCAATCGCAGAAGAAGCTATCGTGTTGCCGTAGCAATGCGGGATCGGCTGTGAGGCGGCCATTTGCGTCAGATTAAAAAGGGCCGGAGCTGGCTTTGGACACGTCGCTTGCTTTCGCTCTACAGTTAAGAGGTGGCAAGTCCCGCCTTTCGTGGCGGGGGGGGGGACGGATTTCCTGTGTGCCGTCGAAAGGGCGTGCTACGTCATCCGCGGTTCGAAATACGACGCGAACCTTAGCAACGAGAGCGCCGCCTCAGGAAAGCTCGCGGCGGCGGCAACCGCGGTAAGCGCGGGGCGGCCGTGCTGGAAGCGGCATCGAGCTTAGAGACGCCGGGGAGCCCCTTCGCAGTCCGTCAAGCGGGAAGGAGGCGGGTGGAGAAGACAGGGCGGCCAGAGCCGTGGTCGTAATCGGGCTGTCGGGAGCAGACGAGTCGTTGGTGTTCCCGAGTTGTGTGTGAAGTCACGGCCATTGGGCGGACCCCACTTCGCTCCCTTTCCCGCCCGTCATCTGTCTGTCTGCCGCCGCTAGTGCGGGCTAAGGACGTTTGCCTTCGATGAGACGTCCCGAGTCCCACCTGCCCTGTTAATAACACGGAAGCCAGCAGGGTCGGAGGGTGTCGTCGTTGTTTGAGTTTCAAGGGATAGAGGTAAGGCCGCGTAGATTTCCAGCTGTCGAGTTTATTCAAACTTTTCATAACTAGTAGCAGCATCAGGTAGCTGAAATAGCCGCTTGGGTGACCTGACTGAATAGGATTTCCTGGGACAATGTCCTCCTGTATGTTATGAAAAGCACTGGAAGGGTGTATAAATACAAGTCAAATAAATAGCAAAAACACTTTGATTAATGGCAAACTTTTAATGCTTCTGAGGAAGGATTTGCATTTTGAAAAAAAAAAAAAATTCCTCATCCAGTAAGGGTGGGAAATAGATCTTAGCCTTATATACTTTACAACCCTCTCTAAGCAGTTTACAGAGTCAGCATATTGCGTGCACACAGACACGCACACACACACACAAAATCTGGGTCCTCATTTTACCAACCTCTGAAGGGTGGAAGGCTGAGTCAGCCTTGAGCTGGTGAGAATCAAACTGCTGGCAGCCAGCAGTCAGCAGAAGTAGCCGGCAGTACTGCCTTCTAACCATAGAAAAAATGGAAGAAATCTCTTTAGCATAGGATGCCTTTATGTAATATAGTGAAGTAATGGTTGTGATGGTTGTATGCCATTTTATTGAAGCTGTTACTTTTGTTCCAGAGTGAGGAACCATGGCACTGGAGCCCATCCCATGCGCCATTAAAAACCCAGTAGTGTTGCAAGTGGGAGACATGAAGACCGAGCTAGGCCGGCCTGGTGTTCTGGTGATTGATGTTTCATTTCCACACTCTCAGACCACTGATGTAAGTGTGAAAGAAAAGCAGATGCCAAAGGATGCACAGTGGATAAATTACACCGGTCTACAAATTTGGGGAAATTATCAACCTCCGAGATAAAATGTGTTAATTTTATATATTTTGATTAGATGAATTCAAAAACAGAGGATAAAGGTGCCAGTTGGCTAAAGTTTTCAGGATATTTCACAATAAAGATTTATACACAGTCGAGTGTATTTGCCTACAAGGGGGGGGAGGTGTCTAATGATCATGATGCCTCGTAACTTCTTGACAAGGTACGGTAGAACAATGAAAATGGTACCATATGGAAGTATATAAATTTATCTTCACTTTGAGAACAGCAAGGCAGATGACTTAAAAATCACGTGGGAAATTTGCTTAGGTCTGAAAGGCACTTGGTGCAAAAAAAAAAAAAAGTCTCTTCTTACACTCACATTTAGATTATTTCCCTTTGAACTGTGAGGCAATGAGTGATGAACATGAGGAGAAATTCCACCAGGATATCGCAGGCATGGAGAAAAGATACCAAGGGAAATGGAGTCCATCCATGCTTGCCGATTACTGCTGGAATCTCCCCAGGGATAATCCTACTGCAGTTCACAAGAGAAAACCCAGAAGGCGCAGTTTAGATACCGCATAAAGATGGAACCATGTTGTTTAATCTGATGTTGGAGCTTGTCAATCTTTGATACAAAAATGTTACATGAAAAACCAATAAATGAATGGAAAGTTATGTTATTGATATCAATAAAGATAAATTTATGATTGTTGTAGCACCATTCTCACTGCTCTATCACATTTTGCAGAAAAGTTATGGAGCATAATCGCACATCCCCCTCATTATTTTGATGCAATTTTGATCTTGGAAACTGAAGCCAATTAATATGCAGGACTTAATTTTCCTTTATTAGTAACCCAATTCTGGTAAAATTAAGCTGCTTTTATTTCTGAGGCTTTCTCCTTGTAGACCAGTGTTATTCAAAAGTTGAAATTGATTTAAATCTCAAAGCTAAGATATCTGTGAACCAGAAGTTCCTATTCCAAAAGTTATATCTCTAATTTACTCAGTTGATAGTTCCAAATCAAAATTGTTTCCCTTTGCTTCTATAAGCAATATAGAACATTTATTTAAAGACTTATTGCTGGAGATGTTCTGAGAAACAAAAAATATTTATGAAAGTTTTCTCTATATTCTCTTCACTGTGTTATATCTTGCTTGCTGTGGATTCAATCAGTACTTGCTTTATTTCAGTTACAGGCAATTGCATTCAGAAATTACTATACTGCCTTTTTGACCCTTCGAGTACAGCGGCAAAGTTCTGCAGATGATGGGAATGAAAGCCCTTCCAAATGGGTTACTTGTCTACGTAATTTTTGTTTGATGCCTAACCCACATACAGAAGAGGGTTCCCAAAACTACTTTTCTATTTCCAGACATCAGGTCAGGATTTCAATTTCTTACTGGGGAAGAGGGGAATTTCATTTGCTCCAAAGGAATAATGTACTGTAGGTCTGGAAACAAGAATAATCTAGTTATTAAATGCCCTATCAAGTATTCTGTTTTGGAATTGTTTCCACATGCAGAAAGGAAATAGTTCTAATGAACTTGATTAGGAAGTTTCTCATCATGAGGTGTAGGAATCCTTTATATCTCTTCTGCATTGAAAAAAAAATGGAATTAGCTTAGTGGGGTTTGTATTTTGGAGATTTAACACTCTCAACTTGTCTGCCAAAATCAACCATAATCATTCCAATTGTTGATCAGTTTTACTTTTATTTTACTGCCTGAAGATGTAAAAAGAACGCTCAGATATCAGTATGAAGGAACTTGTTCTATATTACGTTCACTAACTGTTCATTTGTGCATTTTTATTTTCTCCCCAAATGCCACCTTTGGCTTCTCAACATTACAGGTTTTAAAATTAAGAAATCTGTCTGAGAGTTTAAAATGAACATTAGATTGTTTGCATAAAGAAATACTGAGAAATTCTTATTTTTCACCCTTATTGGGATAGGTGGGATTTTTAGTTTTATACAAATCCCTTTATTAGGATTTTTCTCACTCTGGGTTGTGACAATATCATTGATAAATAAGTTGAATAAGCATAGTGCTGGCATTCATCCCTATATCCCTTTAAATGTCAGAACGTTTTCTTTTAAATGACTTACTGGGTAAGTCTTAACAGTAGCTACATAGTGTTTCATCATCAATTATAGTATCTAGCTATTTTCACTTCTTTTTACCTATGTTCCAATTAGCTTTGTTTTTTTTCAAACAGGATCTTCTGCAATGATTTTTGTTCATATATGTGTGTGAATGTGTGCGTGCACACACACTGTGTGTGTGTGTACATACCGCATTCTTTAACTTCCCTATTAATGCTTCAAATGAGCGGTCTGGTTTTATTTAATCTTACATCAAAATTATACACTCTTTTTTGTATAAAAATACCATGGATCTCTCTTTGTGGGTTTTTTCTTCATTCAGCCTTTCTGGTGGTCCAGTTCTTACAGCCACATATTACAAGTAGAACAGTTATGGCCTTGACAGTGTATTTGTTCTCAGTGCTATATCTCCACATTTTAATATTTTGTCTCAGTCTATGTTAATATTTTTTTCAAGTAGTAGACACATTTTTATTTTATATCTATAGCTGCTATTCTTGTTTCTGTGTTTATAGCCGAATATGATTTCAACTTCTGTGGGGTGTGGGTCAAACTTATTGAGTTTTCTTGTTGCCTAAAATGAATGAAGGATGCATTCTGGAACATTCACTTAACTCCTGTGCAGAGAAGGTGCTAGAAGGTGGTTGTGGGGAGTGGGGTAGGTAGGATGTTTCATTGTGGGTGTAGGCAGTGGCTGAGGAAAGAGAAGGCAGTGGGAAGATGGGGAGTGGGCCAGTGGGATGTGCCATGCTAGCTGCTGCTAAGGAGACATTGGGACCAGGTTAAACCCACTACTGGTTTAGGGCTTTTTTTTCCTTCGAAACTGTAGCTGATATTAGAATGGTGTAGCAGAATTTCCTGAATGTAATGATCTAAACAAAATGTTATTGTTTCCCTAATGCCAAACAAAATTTATCAATGTTTCCCAATCATCTAATTCCATAATAATTAATAGTATGTACTTATACCATAATTTAATTTTATTATCAAGTTTCTGCTAATTATGTAGGTGTATATGATTCAGTAATGCTTTGTCTTCATGTTTTGCTAGATGCTTTGTGATGTGGATCAGGTGGCTGCCATGCGTTTCATCCTGCGCCAACCTTCTCCAGTATGGTTGCATTTTACAATTGAGGAGCTGCAGCTTTTTTCTTTGTGCCAGAAGGTACATATTAAAAATTTTGTCAAAATATGAGTCTTTAGCAGTTGTTCTGATCTTCCCAGGGTCTTTGCAGTGACTTGTAAATATGTTTAAAAGGTGGGAAACTAAACATGTTGCTAAGTTGCAACTGCAGTATCCTATATCATTGGTCAAGCTGGCTGAGGACGCTCATAGCCTTGATTTACAATATTTGGAGGGATACCTATTCCCAACCATCCTTATTCAGGTAGTCCTAGTTCAATCTGTCCTTTGCCTGACCCTTTCCCACAGCTGCAGCTATATTGCCTTTGATGTGTAGAAGAGCAGCTTACTCTCTTAAAAGCTCCCCAAATGTGGCAACTTTTAAGACTTATGGACTTCAACTCCCAACTATGCTGGCTGGTCAATTGTGGGAGTTGAAGTCCACAAGTCTTAAATCGCCAGGTTTGGAGACCTTTGCTCTAATCTCTCCACTCTGCAATGGGAAAGAGAGTCAAGTAAAGGAGACATTGACAGCAGGAATCACTTACTTTTTTCTCATTCTCCCAGCAGATTGGAATGCAAGAAATTTCAAGGAAGTACTGTAAGCTTTTTGTGTAGCTGGCTTGCATCTCCCAGGCTGCTGGTGTAACTGCATTGCTTTTGATTCGTAAAAGACCAAGCATATTCTCTTCTAATCCCTTTCTCTGTCTGTTCTTCAAGTGGGAGGGGCACCACACATCAGACAAAGACAACACATATTGGCTCTAATGGTGATGAACAAGGGATGCTGTGAGGAATGTAAATAGGCCAGAAAGTTATTTTTTCAGCACCATTGTAACTCTGAATGTTTGCTTGATGAAGTGAGGACTATTTGTATTGAAGTGAACTTGTTTATTTGCTTGTTTGTTAGCTAGTTACTTGCTTGTGTCATTTTGCATTGAAGTTGAACGTTGACTCGAGGGTTTTATTTTTGTCCACCTATCTCTGACATTCATAGAGCAAGTATGGTAATTACTTCTTTCTGCCAGATTCATAATATACTAATGGTAACATTTATAATTAGTAATGTTGAGGAAAGTAACTGCCTATATTACTTAGTGTGCATAAGACCTAGTATTAATTTCAGCATACAGATTAGGTGAAAATCTGAGGCTGACATTTTTTTTCTGAAGGAGGTTTTTTTGTTCAGATAAGGAAAAGTTGTACTTTGTAGCTCTTACTCCTTATCTGTAAAATAATATAATTCCTAATGGTTTGATATACTTGGAAACAGTTGAAATAAATGCCTTTAAAAGTAAATCTTCCTAATCACCAGTTCTAGGAAAGTGAATGGTGAAGATGGAGTGTGGTGTGTATGTTGCCTGATTTTGTTGTGTGTTTCTCTGGGTTTGCCTTCTCCTCTTTACAGAGTCCACAGAAAGGCTTTCCAGCTTGGCTTTCTCATCCTTCTCCTCAGGAACAGCCAACAAGCTTACACGATGTAAGTATTATTACTGAGATAGGTTTTTTCTTCTTCTGAGAATACAGACATGTTTATCATTAAAGATATATAAGCTTAGTTTGGCTGTTGATTGTTAGCAGCTCCTAGAGAGGAAACAAAGTTGGTCTTGCAAGAGCAAAATCAGTAGAGAACTGCATATATGAATATAGTTATTCTTTGCTTTCAGGGACTTCCTGATGCTGACAGAGTGTCTTCTGAACTGCAGCAAATGTGGATTTTAACGGAGATGCTCCAGGCCAACCAACCAGTAGCACGAATTGGGCGCTTTGATGTTAGTTTCTCTATTCTTCTGCTTCTTGTCTTAGAAGTGTAATTATTACTGAAAAACAGTCAGAACCTCTAAGTACTGCAAGTGGATAAAGTACCCCACTTTCTCTACACGAAGCCTCTTTTAAGATATTTATCCACAGAGCTTCTGTGGTAACATTCAAAGACCTTTACTGAGTTGTATCAAAAATGCATACCTATAAAACTAGTGGCTGCTAAAATGGACAGAATGATGACCATCCTAATTGGGGAAGGAGGTGTAATCCATCTAGTATGCAATTGCTATTTACATGACATGTTCCTTTAAGGAACTTAGACTGGTTTGGCATTGTTTTCCAGGTTAACTTGAAACAGATTAAGGTAAGATATAATAACTGGTCAAAGTTCATCATCTTTTAGGCCAAGGGTCTTCAAACTTGGCAAGTTTAAGACTTGTGGACTTCAACTCCCAGAATTCCTGAGCTAACATGGCTGGAGGAGGAATTCTAGGAGTTGAAGTGCACAAGTCCTAAAGCTGTCAAGTTTGAAGACCCCTGTTTTAGGCTGTCAGTTTGAATTGGTATAATCTTTGTCCCTATGGTCCTTTCAGTGTTAATGTGCATATTTTAACAACTCTGTTCATTAACCATGTTTGTTTGACCTGATGAGAGTCCAAGACCAGTTAAGCACTGCTTGAGTCCCAGTTCAGCTTTCTTCCCTGGATTACATTGTCTAAATCGGGAGAGGGAGGAAGAACACAGTATTGGATCTATGCAAAAGTGGGGGGGATTCTTCAGTGTGCTCAACTTGTTGACTTGTTTCTTATATGTATTTCAGATTGAAGACTCCTATGACCTTAATCTACTTTCTTATACTTGAACGGTTTCAAGACAGGAAGCAAGGCTTCCAAGCAGGGCTGCATCCCAGCCCAGCTTCTGGCTTGAACAGGAAGAAGGAAGATTAAGCAGAGCACGAAGATTAAGACTTGATTGCTTCTATGTTCCAGTTTCATGTTCCAACAATTGTCCAGTTAGGTTCTGGTTTCAGTTCTGTGGTAATCTGGTTTTCAAACCTATATCTTGCACTGAACCCTGGAAAGTTAGATTACCTAAACTGAAGCTGCCTAATTAGGGCTATTTCTCTCCTGATCTACTTTTCCGTCTGCCTTGCTGCATGATATATGTTTCTTTTTAAGGCAAAATGAAATATATTCAAGAATCTGGTACTTGGAGCATGGAGGAAAGGGATCCTTCCTTTTTCTAATAGTGACTTGAGATATAAGAAGGACGAAAAGACTCCGGATATTGGGGTCTAAGATTGAAAAAGAGCAATTCTAGAAAAATGCCAGGTATAGAGATGTATGTGGCTGTCTACCTCACTTATAATTACAGAACGTAAGTCTTTTCATATGTGTGTAGACTTGAAAAAGAAAATGTTGCATCATGCTAAAACCATGACACTAGTATTCTTGGAGGGATTGAGGTGGTAGGAAGCTAAGTTTTATCATAAATTTTCTATCCCAATGAGTGTTGAACTTGGTTAAATGAAAGGGAAAGTTTGATTCATTTTGTCTCATGTCAAAGAATTTTAAATAAATTGTATCTGCAAAGCACATCTGAAAACTGCCTTTTGGAGGTTGGTTTGACAAGTACCAAGAAGATATTTGAGCATCTTCGTTCAAGCTACTGAACGACTTATCTATTTACTGGAATAGCATCGTACTGTATGATTTCTACAGAAAATCATTTTCCTTGTGAAGAACAATCCTTGTCATAATTTGTAGTCGTTAGAAATATCAAACTGTAGAACAATATACTGTAAATTTCTGCAATGGGACGTATGTGATTTTTAAAAAAGTATTACATTTTAGAGTATCTGTACATCTTTCTGTATGTCTGTTATGCCCTTCCTTTTATTTATTATTTATGTTAATTATTTATCGTTGGAAAGGATTGTAATAGACTTCCAATGCACTCTGTCAGGGTTATGTATCTCAATGGAATACTTAGCCAGATTTAAGGGGTCACAAATAAATGAAAAGCTACGTGTTATATAATGATACACTGTAAACACATGGGAAATTTTTTTGATCCTACAGACTGCACATAATGTTTTGTTCCATATACATATGGAATACATGCCTTAATTTCTTTTCTTTTTAATATAGTTTCTGGGGCAAAAAAGGGGAGCTTTGAGGCTGATTCCTTCCAGCCATCCAGTGGAGATGGTTTCATTGCTAGTGCCATTATTGGTATAAAAAAATCTGCCTTCCATCTATCAAGGTTTGCTTTATTTCCTGCTGTCGGGGTCATATATTTATTTCTGCTTATTGGCAGAAAGAGGAAGAGGCTATTCCGAGAGTTGAAGTGGAAGGAAATACTACTGCCATATTTTTATCAGAACAGAGTTCCCAAATACACGAGAGATGAAAAACAAAGTACCAAAGATGAGATGAAGTCTTAAATTATCTGCCCAATAAAAAAAGACAGATCTTTCATCTACTATACTCTTTACTTTAAATGATTGCTTCTGAGTAATTTCATTTTTCGCAACTGTGATTCTTGCATTTATGTTGAAGTTCTACTGAAAAATAATTTGCACTCTTATGATTCTGAAATAATGATTTTGCTTCTCTATTTTAAATGTTATCACAGCAATAGAATAATTGAAGCAAAAACTAATAAATATTCAGAGATCTGTAATTTCAATACTGGGGGCAGACTATATTCATTAATTTCACATTCTGTCTTAAGCACCAAATGCTGAATATATGACCTGTTGAACTTTTCAGCAAGATGCCAGTATTAAATACGACAGCAAATCAGTGCTTTTGTTCACATGTACAGTATTTGAATGGATAATACTGTATGTTATCATTTTTGACGATTTTAGATGTGTGCAGTTCTCAGTTACATTCCTGAGCTTAGTGAATGTATACTCTTCAGCATTTATTTTTATACAGGAGCCTGCATCCTGTGGATGTTAATGGGTTCTATCTTCCATGGATGACATAATAATTGGGGACAATGGAAGTTAAAGTCCAACTCAGTAGGTGTAGAAATTTCCCCCTCTTTGACATCTGTTTTGATTTCTCTAGAGATTTTGAATGCTGTATCTCTATTGATAAACTTCAGAGTCCTTCAGTCAATATTCATGGATTAATCTGATGAGTGTGCATGGGTTCAGTAGAGAACTAATGTGGTTGGTTTGGTTTTGCATTTTCATTTTAGGTCAGCATGTTGTGTGAACCCAGATAGCTTGATTTGTGCACTTATTAATGGTTAGGATATACAAGAATAAACCTATGGTGTTCTCTGAACTGGTTAGACTCATACAACACACATTATCATAAATCTCACCTTACAAATGACAAATGCTAGATAGACCCCAAACCAAAAAAGCCTACATCATGGCAATATTTGACTAGCCTCAATGTCATGTGAATCCAGATAATTCTGGATTATTCAACGAACCATAAAAAACCATGAGCTATGTGAACCCAGTTGTATAAACAAGGATGAATGCCTTGCAACCAAACACCTTGAAATGAGCTTGGTGGCCACTCCAAGAGTTCCTTGTGTGGAACAAGGCTTAGGATTCTTGGCATCTATCTTGCCATTTCCATTACTGTCTGAAGCAGGCAATAAAAGAAAACGGTTACCAAGAATCTCTCAAATGGAGTGAATGGATATCAGACTGATACGTGCTGTTTGGTGTATATATAACAATTATCCATTTAGGTAGTTTTAAAGAGTGATTGAGAAAGGCAGTATTCGTAGGTGTTTGTGGGAGTGTCAAAATCTGAAAGATAAAAGATGCAGCACTGTAATCAACATTGCTGCAAACAAAAGTGGGGCAGGACTTCAGTTACAACCCACACCTTGCAACTTGCAGATTTTGACACCTGTAGAAGCTTGACTATATTCGTCTCCTCATCCTTATGATGGTTCAGCTCATCCCCAGCCTATGAGCAAGACAGGTTTACTTTCCAAAAGCTCATGGAGGTCCTGGAAAACTTGCATGCTGGGGAAGGAGGGGGGTATTTTAAACGGCCTGTTTTCTTTTTCTTTTAGGCTCTAGTTCCTTTTTGCCTGTTACTAGTGATGTAATATTGTGTCCTAAAAGTTTTTGCCTGCCACAGGCATAATCAATTGGTGCAGCACCCTTGTGGTCGTGACATGAGTGCATAAATTTACTGTCAAACATTCCATCACTGTAACCCATTTAGTAGGAGAAAAATAAGAGGCAGCTGAAATAAGTAGATGTAATCAAAGGAAATGATGCAGTTCACACAAATGGGAGAGGGGAAAAATTGTCCTATGCTGTCCTTACTGGAACATAAGGATGAAGGTCCAGCTAATCAGTGGTGGGATTCAGCCAGTTCGCACCACTTCAGGAGAACTGGTTTTTAACTTTCTGAGCAGTTTGGGGAACTGCTTGTTGGAAGAAATCATTAGGGCAGAGAACTGGTTGTTAAATTATTTGAATCCCACCACTGCAGCTAATCCAGCATTGTGTGTCACTCTGTGGCCAACCAGATGCATACAGGACACTTGGGTCAGGTGTTACTGCCTGTTGGTAATAACCTAAGATAGTAAACTAAAAGACCATCAAGACTAGTAGCACCAATAGCCTGACTTAAAAGAATTATCAGTCTACCCTTGAATCTCCAGAAAACGATACCAGCATGAAATGTACTGTCTCCATTGCAGATGCTGGAAATGAACTCTTAGTCTATGTTGCCACCCCAACCCAAAAAAGTCTGCGAACATCTTTTCCAAGTAACACATTTTATTAAAAGGTATAAGCTTTCATGATGCCTTTTAATAAAGTTTATTAGTTGGGGGCTTCCGGTTTGAGCTTCTTCGGCGACAGACTGAAACCGCAACTCTGCGCAGTTTCGATACATGCTCACCACTGGAGTGCCCCGAGTTGGCTGGTTTTGGGGCTAAGCCACCCCATAGAGGTGGTGAAGAAGGGGGAGACTGCCTGCAGGGTTGAGCAGAGCCACATCTCTCCTCCTCAGCTGGCCGTTACTCCCTTCCCCAAAGGCGGTTGCAGCGGTGGTCAGAAATGGCCACCTCAAAGAAGAACTCGACAGGAAAAGAATGTGCAGGAGGAAGATAAGAAGAGAAAGTTTTGGTTGACCGGGTCAAACAGCAAAAGCAGCAAATAAGGTACCCTGGAATTTAAACTATTAAAAAAAAATAACACTGTTCCTAAAGAAGATTTCTAAGCAGTGAAGGAGAGAGAAAAGGGAAAGGATTTGGTGTTTTTTTTTTCTCCTCTTCCTATACTGACAGCTAAGAGACTTAAGCAAGGAATTGGAAAAAAAAATCACTTTGACATTAATAGGCATTTAATGCTGAAAATAAAAGGTCAAAGGGATAATAAAGATTTCTGGATAATTAAAAGCTTTTGAAAACAGGAAAGGAGAGAAAAAGAATAAAAGGGCAGAATCTGGAAGGGAGGAGATTGCCTGGAATTAAAAAAGAACTTACAGCAAAATCTCAATAAGACTTCCAAAAGATACATTCTAACTGAAATATCGCAACAAAAACCCCAGGAAGAGAAAGTCGAAAAAGAAATAAGAAGTTATAACTCGGGACTATCTGGATTACTTGATGATTTCTGGATTCTTGGTTATTGTTTTGAATGACTAAAATCAATTGGGTGGTTGTTTAAAAGTGTTTAAAATGGCTCCACTTTTAGAAGAACTGAAAATGGAACTTAAAAAGTACAAAGAAGATGCACAAGAAGGGAGAGGTTCTTTTGGCTTCATATTTCAGTTCTTGGAAATGGAGATTTGGAACTATGAGAAACAACAAGAAATGCCTGCAGCAGAAGAAGATTGGGACAAAGCAGAAGCCATCTTTAATGAACAAGTAATCTCAGGTGGGAGGAAAAAAAGGAAAGGGGGGAAAGAAAATGGAAAGTTTAAGATTGGGAAAAACAACCCAGAAAAAGGAAAGAGGGAAAAATAAGTATAAAATCAGAAAGCAACAGAAGAGGGAAATGCAGAAAAGAGGATTAGAAGTAGAGAGACAAGGGGGTAAAAAGGGGAGGGTGAAGAAGAGAGGGAAGAAAGAAAGGAAAAGAAGTTATAAAGGACAGAAACAAAATATAAACAGGGCCTATTTAGAGATAATGGGTGAAAACCTAATTGAAAAAGGGATTCTACAAAGGTACATAAGATAGTATTGTTCTATTAGAAATAGAAATTATTTCAGAAAATATGAAACAATGTATGATTAAAATGTTTGATAAAATAGTTATTGTAACTTAGTGGAATGCTTGTCAATAAATAAATGTAAGAAAAGAGGAGTGGTCCTGTATATTAAAGAAACTATTGTAGCAAAATTGGTTTATACTGATGAAGATGGAAGAATATTAATGGTTGAAATAGTGGATAACAATATAAAAATATTACTTGTTGTAATCTATGCTCCAAACGATAAGAAGAATTCTATAAAAAGTTACATATGAAATTAATTGGACTGGACCATGTCAATATAATTATGATGGGAGATCTTAATGGAATTGTAGATAATAAATTGGACTATACAGCGACAACATTAAAACAAAATAGAAAGACTCTCCCTAAATCCTTTTTTAAAATGGTAGATGAATTAAATTTAAAAGATATATGGAGAGAAAGAAATGGTAAAACGCAGCAATATACTTTTTATTCAAATAGACATTTATCGTGGTCCAGAATAGATATGATTTGGACCTCATCAGAACTAATATCTAACATTCAAGAAATAAATATAGAAACGGGTATATGGGCAGACCATAACCCTATGACAATTAAATGGAAAGGACAAAGAAGAAGATCTAGATGGACATTAAATAACGCTATCTTAAAGGAAAAAGACTTTACACAATGGATGGACAAAGAACTGGCCTTTTTCATTAAAAACAAAAAAGAAGATACTTCAATGCAGAATGTTTGGGATACAATGAAGGCATATGCGAGAGGATTAATAATGGACTATACAAAGAAAAAAAATATTAGGAAGAGGCAAACTATTAAAGCTTTAGAAGATGATTATAAAAAACTGGAAAAAGAATTGCAGAATATGCCACAGAAAAAAGATATTAAATTCAAAATGGATATAATTAAA